AAAAGAGATTAATATGTTTATTTATTATAATATTTATAATATAAAACTTATCTATTTTATTATGAATATTATAATAAATAAACATATATTAATCTCAATTTTGCTCAATGATCCATAATACTGAATGCACCCAAGGATTTTGAAATTTTTTCTGACCGATATAAAATAACCGATTTAAGTGCAATATTGTCTATTTATTTAGTTGATTTTACGGAAATTAAAATTTTATGAAATGTTTTGAAATATAAAAATATAAAAAGTATAATCCAAAATAGGACGACCTATAACCGATTCTTCGATGCTGCCATTATATTTTTTTTAATGCGGTCGTGGCTTTGAAAGGCCATACCAGGTAATACCGTAAAACTATGCTGTCCGTGAATTTTGCGGATTACTGCATAAACGCACGGTGGTAACGTTATGCCGTTGATCTCTTACGGTCCGCGCGCGAACTATTATAGGAACTTTAATCCGTTTACGTTAAACGTTTTACTGCTCGCGTTCAAAGCGATAGCTTTTAATGCACGAGAAATGAACGAAACTGTACGGCTTGGAATTACTACCGTCGACCGGGTGTTTCGCTCTAGGCAATGCAGATGAAAAGTCCTATCAGCAAAGGCACCAGCGATTGCATCTGCCACGACGACCTACGTTATTACACGGGTTGTGGTCCATTTTCAGCAGCCGGACAGTAAAATTCTATATTATAATCACTATTCACGCATCAATGCAAATCGGGTAATATATTTTTATTTCAGTTTCTGACCTGGATGGGGCGGGTTCGTTGTAAATTATTTACATTTTCACTGTTGACTCTTTTTCGCTCATCGATTATATAGATGCTGAGTTTAGATCTCGCAATCTCTAGTAAGCGTAATTACGAATTATTACAAAGTTATTCTCGATTTGAAAAATGAAAGTATTCGAACTTCAATTTTGGCACTTGAAAGTCATCATATGAGTAAGCAATCTTTTGTCTTAACCTTCCAGAATTCGCGAGGTTTATTGGACCTATTTAATTATAAATTTCTTTTAATCAAAAGTGTCAAACATAAAAAATTTGTTTAAGATTACATCTGCAATTTGAATAGTTTATATTAAAATATATTTAGTATTCATTTTTTTTTATATAAGTTATATTATTTTAGTTTCTTGAAATTAATTAGTAGATATTTTTTTAACATAAATTAAATGAGTCAAGACTCAGCATTAACTTGTTCCTTTACATCAAAAGAGACACAAATTAAAAATGTGAGATATTATGAATCGAACTAGGTACATGAACGAATTAGGTAAAGATTATTTTATCATAAAAAGTAAACTAATTTAACTTTCACATATTGTCTGCCAAATAGTATTCGTGCTATTCTTAAGATTTTTAAAGAGCTCATAATTCTTTACAAAAATGACAAATTTTAAAGTTATATCGTTTTTATGGATAAAAAGGAAAGCCTTCTATATAGAACATTTATAGAATTAAGATAGTTTTGGCAATCAAGTTTGGAGAAAAAATTGTTTTTTGGAAATTTAATCATTTTAGCTGATCAAGCTACATACTGACTGTTTTGATATTTCAAGTTATATTATTTAATGAATTATTGCAAACTTGTTATAATTTTGTAGAATCAAAATCGTACTTAAAAGCGGTAATTTTTTTAAGGATTGTGAAACGAAAATGTACAAAAACGACATTTAACATTTCTAAAAATCTATTCTTTTGTTAATATTATTTGGTTAGTCAACAATTTTATTGACTAACCAAACTAAAAAATAATTTTTCTCTTTTTCTGAAAAACTAATTTTTCAAGTTGTCACTTTTAAGGGAACGAATTACGTAAAGATTAGATAGATTTTGATGTCAGCTCCGAAAGATTAATTCGATTGCATTTACCGCATACGCTTTTAACGCTTTGATTTAAGTAATATGAGTTTGAATCTGATATAGAGCTTGAGTTTGTATACGTATAACGATATAATGAAGAAGTAAGAACCTCTAAAGTCTAAGGAAATTGCAGCTTGTGTGATACAAGTGTAATGGGTTAACGTAACGTTATACTCGCTTCTCGTATTGTGCACGCTTTAGAGCTTGATCGTCAACTCTTATTTCTGCGCTGGCACACTCACCAAGGCGTGTTACACGTGTGCGTGAGGGTGAGATACCTGGCGCCCAACTCGTACAGCATCCTCAGGACCGCCAGACTTGCTCCAACAGCATGGCCCCCTTCGACTCCTATTAGGCTTGCTAATCTAGCCTCTTTGTGCGCCCTCTCGATACCTGTAACCATACATTATAACTTATTTCATGTATTATTTCCTTCCTATCGTTATTATTCATAGCATGAATCTGGAATCTCATCACATTGTGAACTCTTGCTCAGATGGGACGTTGGATTTGTATCATAACAGCCCGATTACTCGAGGATGAATGTGTTTCAGATAGATAAATCCCGCATGCAATGCACTTTTAACCCTGGCTGCTGTTTAACATTACGAAGGAGCGACATAAACGAGAAGCTCTCTACGTTTCGGTTCCATCCAGATTTGCGCGTTGTCCATTAACTTTTCTCTCGGCAGAATAATCTCGCTCTTACGAGCTTTCGCACGTAACGCGAGTGACACGTGAATCTAATAACGGCTGGAACGTCGTTACGAAGTTCCGATCGTACCTCCGATAAGTAATACCGATGGTAAGTGGATCTGCTAAGTTTGCAAATTCTCTTTGCACGACATTGGAAAACAACGACAAAGCACCGAAAACAGCACTTCCGAGGGACATATGTACTTATATACCGGAATCTGAAACGAAATATTCATCAAAGAAAAATGCTTTTAGTTATGAACACATAATAACTTCTTCGATTCCCTTTTGTCTTGCACGATTTTCAGTGTGAACAAGGCGAGTGCAGAATTCAATTACGTTGTGCATAATGCGCGATGCACATGGATCATAATTAAACGAGTTTATCCAGCGTCTCCGATCTTCGGATTAATTAAATCTTTCAAATTGCCCGTGATTATCAGGAATATCTCATCGCGATCGTTAATTACAAAGTGTAAATAAAAGTTAATTAACCCCGGCACGGTGTATGACGTCCAAAGCCCGAAATCCGATCGAAGAAAAGCTCAGTTTGTGGAATCGGAGCTCTTAATCAGGTAATTGGGCATTTTGTCAGCGTTTCGCGAATTCGATCTGCGACGTTTAATCGCTTAATCGAATTGGACGGCGCGAGATCTGGTTGGCGGTATATCTGGGAATCCAATTTTGCGGCCTGCGTTTTGCGGATTTGATTAAAGTACCCATTGGACACACGTTGGGAGGAAGGGGAAGGTGTGTCCAACGCGAGGTGTGTCTCGTTGTCAATATGTTTGCGTAAAATTGCACATATATGATTACGATTTATAAACATATATATATTTATAGCGCTTTCCCAGTCGAATTCTTGATGGTTATCTTCGATACTCCGGCGTCGGCTTACGGTGGCTTTACGGACGAGTTCGATAAAGGGGGAAAAAATACGCGGTGTAATTTATCATCCAATTACAAAGAATTCACGGCAGCTAGGTGGAAGTAATACACTTGACGCCAACGGCGGATTATCGCGCTTCTAAAAATATCGTTTCACAGCAAGGTAATATCACAAAAGCAGTAACCGGAATACATAATACCCGCGCTGCATCGTTACGATATATACCGGTGTATATTTTTAATACGTTCAACGTGCCTATACTCGTGTACCGGTCGAACGATCGATAATTGAAGAGCTCATGCAGATAGGGCTTTTGCATAGAATAAACGTTTTCGGAGATAAATTTAGTTTTATGATTTTAGGACAATTTTATATTAGTCTTTTATAACTCAAAATGACTATCCTACTTAAATTTAAAAAACACACGTACAAAATTAAAAAAGCCAAGCACTATTCTTTTAAAGATTAAATTGGTCTACTTCCTTCTCTGCGAGCGACCCTTACAGCGCTGGCATTGACGAATTATAATTTTCTTCGTACTTGCGAAAGTTTGTGAAACGAAAGTTTGTAAGTAGAAGAGTGCTTGTACTAGAATTTGCATACTTTTTAAATGTATAATCCCATTTTTAGGACGACAGATCGTGGAAGCCATCTTTCAATATGAAAACTTCTGACGTGTCTACACAGAGAAAACGGTTTTATTATAGAAATGTCTGAAAATTTAACTAGATTCATATTTGAAAAGAATTTCATTAATTTGTTAAAATAAATATATACAACGCCTAGGGATGTATAATCTCTATAAAAATATAATTGCAATATTTATACCATACTTCCCATACAAATGAATATTACACAAAAATGAATATTACACATGAATCAATGATTAAGATTAATATTATAGTTCAAATAAAAATTTTCTCATCTTATTTTAATTATTTTTTAAAAACATGTTTACTTCTTATTGAAAGAAGTTTGATATGGGTTGTTTATCTAAATTTTTTTATTTAGATTTTTTACTCAGATTTAAAAAATTTGCACTATATTTTCTATGTGTTACTTTCAAATATGATATATCATTCCTTTACTTTAATAGTGACATAATTAAAAAAAATTAAGTTTTTTTAGAAAAAAGGAAAAAACATAATTATTCAATTTAACAAAAAATTATTGATTCTCAAATAATATCGACAAAAAGAATATATTCTTAAAAGCATAACCAATCATTTTTATCATTTTTCTTATACAACCTTTAAAAAATTATCCTTTTTGAGTTGTGATGATTTTAATATCCTAACAAAATTATAACAAATCTGGAATAGTTTATCATACATGACATAAAAATATCAAAGCAATTTATATTTGTCTTGATCAATTAAAATAAAGAAATTCAAAATAAAATATTTTTTTTTTATTTTAATCACTAAAATTGTTTTTAAATGTTTTCTGTCAAACTCTCTTTTTTATCTACAAAAACGACACAAAATTTGTCATTCTTGTAGAAAATATTACAATCTCTTTAAGAATGACATAAGTGCTATTTGACAAATAGACTGTGAAGTTAAATTAGTTTATACTTTTGATGATTGATACTTCGAGTAATTTTTACGTAACTCATTTACGATAATAACTTGAAAATCACATTTTTTAAATTGTGTCACTTTTTATTTATTTATTATTAATTTATTATTAATTAACTAAGAATGATATAGAAAAATCTATAGCTTCTTAATTTCATTTTGTTAAAAATGTAACCTGGTATATGATACAATCTTGAATGTCAATGATAATACTGTACAAAATTTGGACAATCTAACAGACATTGAATCTTATATAATTTGATGATCCAACAAAATTATATTTAGATGTATATCTAACTAAATATTTAAATACTCTAGTAAAATCGTTTTTTTCCGTGTATTTAAGATCGTTTTAATTTTGCTTCCTTTAGCTTTTTACCTCCTTTAATGAATTCCTTTCTCCAATTTTTTAATGGTAAAGCTTAGCGCTGCATTTTTTCAGACTACATTTTTGAAATAAATTGCATGCGTCACAAGCGAATTGTTGAATTATTTGTTGCGGCTTTAATTTTTCTCGTTGACGTAGCCGACGATTACGTTGTATTACGGTTTCTTTAATGGACGAATGGACGAAAAAAGAGTGACGCAAATAAAACACATGCTGTCGATGGTCATCTGATTTAGTGCAGCTTGCGATTTATACTTTTGCACCCGCCCGCACGTAACGCTGATACATTTGATCCTGCGAGTGTATCGGTTCGGGGTGTCCCTGCACGTACGTATGCACATATATCTCGCACAAAGTGCATGCGAATGTATGTACGTGCTCGCGCTCACGTATATACTAAGACTAGCATTTCGACATTATCGGAGGAGCTACGGCGGGCTCCATGGTTTCAGAACATTCTTCCATTCCTCCTGGAATTTCTCATCTTCCACGTTCTACCGGAGCCCTTTCTTCCATCTGGCAGATTGCTTCCCCAAAGTGCTATATTTTGTACTTTCTCGCTTGCGAGCTCTCTTCGCGCGAAACCCCCCTTTTGCTAGACGGGAAAGATAGCGCACCACTGTGATGTGTAACGTGCACGAAATTTGCATATTTTTAAAAAGACGAGCACGCGGTTTACTTTACGGTGACGTACGATCGTTTGTCTTTCTATCAACGTTCACATAAATGTACTGCGAGTACAAGTGGAGACAATACTTTGAGAAATATGAATCGAGAACGGATTGCGCGCATATAAGGTAAAGTACGTGATTTTCTCTATATCTACCACGTGTCGAAGGAAAAATGCGGTAGGGGACGTAAAATGCTCCGAAAATTAAAGGTGACTTTTTTCGAGACAGATATACTGGCGAATACTGTACGAAATTGTTTTCTTCAGAAACATCACTCGCCGATGTGGATTCGACACTCGAAAATATCATGCGAAAAAATGTGAAACAGCGTATGCCGGAATGACAACAAGCGTTTACATTTTCCATGATATATCTTGGCCTTTTTAATCAGCGATGAAAAAATTCTCGTGACACGTGGAGAGGGAATGCGGGAACGGGCTGTCGGTTTCGTACAATCAGCTGTCCGTATGTATGAACGTACATATGCGTATTTTATGTTCATTTGCATATGGATGTGCACGGCGACATGCAGTCGTCGACGTTCGGGGTTATCGAACGGAGTACGTTGGTCGGTAGTGCCGGACCGACATTTTTCCATTCCAGTTGGAATTTACCATCCGGCGCATCTTTCTCGTGTTCCATCATCTTCCCATCGGATTTGCGTTACGCTTAGACAGCGCGCATTGTGACAGCGGGACGACGAAATCCAGCAGCAAATATTTGCTCACCAAATATAGGAAATTTTCTAGGAATTCGTCTGACGCGTACACATCCTCGTAAAATAAGACACATTAAAAATAACTAGGAGAGAAAAAGAAAGAAAAAGAGAGAGAGATGCTTCTTTTTAAGCGAACGTTAAGAAAAAAACAATAGCAACTGAGGTGAGAAGCTATGGCAGAAATTTTACATTATTTAAAAATGAAAAAGAATTCGATATATTCTGTTAGAGTGCAGGAATATGCACGGAATTTTCTATATAAGATAATCCTTAATCTGTTATATATTAAGCAAAATTTGCTTTAATCTCTTCCGTTTCAAACTTCTTCACTCTATCAAAGGTTTCATTGAATAAATATCATAAAATATTTAATATAATTCTCATCGATATCGCTTAATTTTGCGTTTGATTGAAATATTCATTTCGATTGCCTCGAGTAACTCTATTTATATAATGCTTGCGGAGAAACAAAAGCATAATGATTATTTCCCGTAATATTAAACTTGATAAAATCGTCTTTGTAATATCCGTCTCGCGAATATCTATCTTTTCTTAGAAATACATACGACAAATAAAAATCAATCGATAAAGCAACGCTATTTATCGCGACTTCGTTTTTTTTCTTATTTTTAAGTGTTGCAGATTCATCGTGTTTTAATTGCCGTTATCATCGACTTTTTCTTTTTTTCTTCATTTTTGCATGTTTAAAGAAAAATCTATCAAAATCTTTATGATATTCATGTCAAAACATTATGATTATAATGACTGTAAAAATAAATGTAATAATGTAATAATAAAAATATCTTTAGGGGGAAAAAGCGATTTTTTTTATTAAATTATATGGAGGTATCACAAAATTAACGCAAGAGTGATGGATTTTCTACAATTTCCATTTAAGCTTTAAATCTTAAGTCGTAAGTAATTGACCAATCATATGAAAAGAATATTAAATATTATGATTAATCAATTTTTACAGCTTAAAACTTAAAGCTTAAGTAATGAACTAATTATAGAAAGCCTATGAGACGACATAAACATTTACAAAAATCTTTAAAATAAGATAAGGTCTAAAACACATCCTAATCCTTTAAAATACTTGACAAATTTTTAATTTTTTTTAATTATCTCTCTTTTCAATTTTTATCAAAATTTCAATTATCTTTTTAGTTTTAAAAAAGAGAAACTCTAATATATTATTCTTATTTAATTCAAATCTTTTGAAAAACAAATATAAAATGAAAACATGACAAATTCAGTGGCTGTAACAATTTGTTATTGCAAAGTGGCAACGAATATAGAACAAAGTGGCGTACAAAATTTATCGTATAAATGTGATTTTCGAAATGCGCCAAATAGTACACTGTATTTTTACGAACGTATTCGATCATCATCAGATTTTTTATGGCATCAATAAATTTGTTCCGTGCTGCGTGAGAGATTCGATTCTCTATGTGAAAATTTCGCTTTTAAAAATAGAAGAGAACCGATACGAGAAAAACATTTTTCCCTCGGCTCGATCTTATTACATTCTCGTTTTTTTTTTCCAATTCTTTAGGGGAACATCGCACCTGGAAAACTCAACTGTTCATCGGCGGATCGTTCTGAAATAGATTCGACGAGGTCGAAAGATGCTTCTTACATTGGAAAAACGATTGCTCGTTTCCTCGATCGCACTTCTTCCACATGGTCTAAAGTGCATTCTAAATTTTTGAAAGAAAGAATACGTAGCGAAGATGATGTGGAAGGATGCAAGAACGAAGCGCGGGATGGAAAAATGACGATTCTGGCTTGCCTCCGAATATCGAGGGATCTCGAATATGTCGAGAACTCGAAACGGGAAATAGGTAACACGATTCGACAATGAAAATTTAATGCTGTAGCGATTCGCTCGGTTCCAGACGCTCCAGGAGACGTAGTGAACACGTGCTGCAGACGACACATTTCCAAGGGCGACATTTTAAGTTATATTTTTATTTTCGTGAATATCCATCAGCATGCGAAACATGCGAGACATGGAGATTAGAGGAAAAAGTCGGCGCAGAGTGCGGACGCGGATAACGGCCGGGAACAAAATTTCATAAAATGAACCTAAAAATCTGTTTGTGCGGATGAGGGAAAAAATTACTGTGGATTTTGTCTCTATACTTTAAACATTAATCTGTTGGAGAATAGATTGATATAGCGAGCAATTATGCAAGACTGATCCAGTGCTGAGCAACACATTAATCTCCGGGCGAAACCAGATTATCAAGTAATATGCCTGGCATTAAAGGGTTAAGTGAAATATTCGTTATAATTTGAGGTGGATAAATTTCTCGGCGGATGAAAAATAGGGAGCATTTTAAATTGATGGCTCTCAAAAGTTTTTCTACGGAATGTCGTTCACATATTTTTCTGAGTGGCGAAGTGCCGACCAAGCGAACTCAATCGAAAGTATTCCAAGCTCGAAAGTATCGAGCGGAACTGAGGTCAAATCGCGCTGGCATTTCGCCAAATGTATCACCGGGCGAATTTTCATTCTCGCAGGCCGTGATGGATTTAACGTTTCGCTAATAACTTATGTATTCTTGATTTTATCGCTGCATTCACGAACCCGTAAACGGACGGATGAAAATACGAACCTTCCGCTGTGGTAACGAGGACCATACTGTCCGCATGCTTGTTGACCAATCGGCGAATAAGATCGATCTGTTCCAGGGCCAGCTGGACCGAGTCGAGATGCTGCGACGAGCAGGGCACATACGCGGACCAGAACTGCAACGATAAAGCGGAAATGTATATGTAAGTTAAATCGCACTTCAAAATTTATTGCTTAATTTTTAAGTGGGTAGGTGGAGCCACAGTACTTCAGATATAGATTTCTTTAAAACTTTGTTCTGGGAAAGGAAAATATTGCCTAGATATCCAGAAGTTTTTCATTATTTTTATTCCTCAAACTCATAAAGATATAACTAATGTAAATTTATTTAACTATACATAACATGTATTATAAAAAAATGTAACTACACTGAAAAAAGTTTATATATTAAATTTTAATAAATATTTGTTTGAATAGTACTCAGTATTTTCCAAATATAAACATACACTTATGTTTGATGCAAAAATTATTAATTTGACTTAACTATCATTTTTTTTTACTGAAAATATTTTTCTTATTGCATAAAACAAATATTTTTGGAGATCTTCTCATTTACCAATTGTGGTATTTTTAAATTACCTACTTAAAAATTAATGATTAAAGCACACAAAATTCATAAACATAGCTAACTATAAGACTATTGGATCAATAAGCATGTTATGTAAATGAATATAGAAACTTTATGTTGGATGTTCAAGTCCAAACGATCTTATATTATGCTATGCTATGCTTATACATTTTTTATGCTATAGCTCTAAAGCTCTAAAGCTTTTATTCACTCACCATTATTATTTAAGATTGTAACTTTAGAAGAGAGAAACATAATAAAAATTCTTGCAAAATATATTTGAGTAGAAATAATTTTCAATGAAATAATATTTGTAATTAATAGAAAAAACTTATAAAATATACAAAACTTACAAAATATACTGTAAACTTTCTATTTCAGAAAGAAATTAAATCATATTCATTTCTATATGGTTTTAACAATTTCTGTATGGTTTGACAATTTGTCATTACAGTGAATAATAGCTTATTTTGTTTTTGATTATGCATAATTCATTTCCAGGTATATGGTCATTTATTAATTACATACAAAATAAAAAAGAATTTTTGATATTTTAAATCAGTTTTTTATCGATTGTAACCCTAGTAGCAATTTATTGGCAATATTGGTAAATATATGTATGGCATGTGTATTGGGGACGTATTGAACTAATATTAAGTCAATATGGTACCAATAAATTGTATTACTAAGGAAGTATTGTTTTATTGAAACATATTTTCATTTCCATATTAATATATTTTGCAAAAATTTTTATTGCGTATTTTCTCGCTTCTAACGTCAAAATCTGAGATAGTAAACAGGAGTCTTAATCTACGTAAACATGTTGAACGCGGTGCTTCTGATTTTTTAATATTTAATATGCACACATATACACAAAGATCATATAATATTTTACTGTACAACGAATAAACGTAAACGCAAAACTAATTATTATTTAATTATTTCAAAAATATGTAAATTTGATATCACGTTGAACTTTATGGAATTTATTATGTTAACGGATATATTGTAACGATATTGTAATATAAAGTAGGCTGTTCTTATGCTAAAGCTAAAATCGATAAAAATGGTGCGATTTATTGCAACGGATTATCTTTATTCAATATTGGCTCGCGAGCTTACTCGCGTTTAAAACACGATAGCATTAATCGCATTCGTATTCTAATTACAAGATATTTCTGACACATATAATGCTCCGCTTTAATCCAGTAGCATCTGATAACGCTAGGAATAATTAAATGCGTATTACGATAGTACAAACGCGGGAGTAATTTGCATTTTAAATGGTTTGATATCGGCAATGATAATAAATAACGAAAACTTTAAGAGTCGCTTTGCAATGCATTCAAAGCAAGAATAAACGGTTCAGAATAATTTGAATGTTCTGAATGTGTCTCCTAAGGTTATGCTCCATGTACGATATATACTTGGCGCTGCAAAAAATAGCAAATGTGACTTCAAAAAGCACGCGATGCGAAGATCGTGATTTCTGTTTCTTTCCCCGTCACGCGAGATCATGTACAGCGATATAATTAGTTTCTCCTACTTACTTTTCCTCGTTACGTCGACATCCGTTTGACATTATTGGGATTTATTCGTATTTTTTAGACGTTCATTATTCAAATCAAATAAGCCAGTGCTTAGATTTCTTTCACTATTAAATTCATAATATCAAATTATACCCAATTTGTGTAGCAATAACTGGAGGCTTATACAGACATTTTACTTATATATATTTGATTTACTATTGGGCCCACAAAATTCTTTTTAGTTTTATTTTTGTTAATCTAAAGAGTTTATTTTTGTTAATTTGTTTTTTTTAATGTACAATATTAGACCACATTTGAATTATTTTTTGATCATTTGTATAGGTCGTCACTGCTTCTATTCAATATGTGGTTAATTTAACTAAAACAATGGAGTTGAACAATTTAATCAAGAAAATGTATTAAATTTAATTTTATTACTAAATACTAAATGCATATATTAATGTAGACGTTGTTTACCAACAGAAATGAATTGATTTAAATTTTGGCGTACATGAAAATTAAAAATAACAAAATGTTATTTAATTCAAGAAATCTATTACGAAAAATATAAACAGGAACAGTTGGATTGGATCTAAATGTTTAATAATGTTTAAATAACGATTGTTAATAATACAAATAATAGATAACATTCAATCATAATTAGATGTTTAAGGGATTAGATTATACCTTTGATATAATAATGTTCTTTCTTTCCATATTTTACCAGACTGTTAAATTCATAAAATGAATAAAATTATATCCAACTTAAGTTATCTTCAATTATTTTTATAGATCGCAGCAAGATTTTAAGGGATGAAACTCCTTATATATAAAATAGTGTTTAGCTTTTTTCGTTATATTTCAAAAATTATTCGAGATAGCAAAAAATATCTAATACAAAAGTTTTATAATAAAATTATCTCTACTTGTCTACATAAATAATGTTTTTAAATAATAATTTTGAAAATATGAATTTTGAAAAAAATTATTTTTTAAAAATATTATTAAAAATAAATAGAAATAATTTGACAATATAAATTTTATATAAATTCTTTTTTATATTTTTAATTATTTTTGAGATGTAATGAAAAAATTAAAAACTGTTTTACATTTAAAGGGTGATTTCACTCCTTAAAATTATTTATCTGCCGCTATGCTCTTTTTTAAATTCATCTAATACTCATGTAAGCTATAAATATATAAAGTCTCTTGTAAGTACATACATTAATGGATGTTGTTTGAAATTAATCATAGAAATGAATTGATTTATTTTGTCACACATAAAAGTTAAAAATAATAAAATGTTATTTAACCATGGGATTGAGTTACTATTGCTCCTTTGATATTTAATACTGTACAGCCTGTACACATATTTCTCTTGAGGAAAATGAGAAAACACGATTAAGCGAAGTTAATGAATTCTTATCAAGAGGCTACTGGCTGATGTCCCGTCGGACGACACCGTCGGAACTTGGAAATGAGAAACATTAAGTTCTTGCGCCCGGTCGGAACCGAGGCCATGGTGTCTTATTTCAGTGCGAATTTTCCACATTATGCACAAGTCGCGCATCGCGCGTCGTCACGTCGACGGGAAGTTTTATTTAACAACGCGGACGAAATTTATGTCCAAAGCGTGAGGTTACCGTCACAGTGTCATAAATCAACGTACACGGAAGAGGCGCGAGAGCACTTCCGCTTTTTCTCATCATGTCCTCCCTCCTTCAATGTCTGCCGCCGACAGAAATTACACTGTGAATTGCGACCGTTAATAGTGACGGGCTTTAATCGCGTGCGATACCAGCAGTGATAATTACTACGTTCGGGACGTCTGTATTTCGAATACTTCGGCGACTTCTTCCGCGAGACGGTTAATTGCGATGAGTAAATAATTCAACGGCAGTAGGAAGTTCAGCCTGCGGTTTAATGGTAGTACGCCAAATGGAAACGGCAGCTTCTAACTCTAACTTCTAATTACTTTTGTATATAGTTGAAAATCTACTTGCGGCGAAACGATTGGAAAAAGAAAAGATGGACTTATCATTATCGAACGAGTGAATGGATTATCGGACAGCATTATCGGGAATATAATCACGTGGGATGTCTTTATACTTTCACCTAGCAACGAAAAAGTATGAATTATAATATTATTTAACAAATTTCTTTTTTTAATAATTATTTTTAACAAATTTTTAAAGCAATTCCACCGAAAACTCAATAAAAAACTACTACTCCCATAATAAATAGGATAAATGGACAAAATATTAACGGTCTTTTATAATTTTCTTACTTTTTTTATATATGACATACGTACAAAGATACATTGTTCGCATTGAGTTAGAACTGAGTTAGCAGTTATCAGTAATCTCAGTTTTAAATGAATCCCAACTTCAAACGGTGAAAGAAACGTGGTTTTACAAGATTACGAGAACAGAGCTACATAATCTTGCATCAAAGAAAATGCAGGGATATTAAGCAGAATATACTGACATCTGTATTAGCGCACAATCACCCTTCATTTTCTCTTCCTTTAGATATCGTAAGAAAGCAGTTACCACGATATTTTAGGTCAGACGTTCGCAGAACATATCTCAGTCATGTGCGCGTGTGTGCACGTGTATACGCGAGATTTCTTTTTCCCTTTCGCACCACTATCTCAGCTCCGCACAAGAACGAGCAGTAGTCATGGTGAGTTTTAGGTCAAACGTTCGTAAAAATACTCTCCTCTTCGTGTATAGAACGTGTCGCGTCTGCGATTCCACTTAAAGGCGAACTGTAGCTGTAAGAGCTGCGCTCTTATATACGTTTTAGCAATTTTGTGGCTATACGATGCGAGCTGGCTATTAAGACGGCCGTTTTAACTTATCCTGTGGAGAGCACTATGCGAACAGCCGCACATAAAAATCAATTAAAAAAATTGCTTTCTTTTTCATCGCGCTACTTTAATTCTTACATCTGGCGTTGTGTAAATTTTAACGTATCTCCTATTATGGTATCGCTTATACTCCATTTCTTAAAATAT